AAATAACGGTAGCCAATCAAACCACAGGCAAAGTATATAAGGCGGCGATAGACTTCCAACATTAGAAAGGTTGGAATATAGACGAGATAGACGTGATACTACTGTACGACGCAGTAAGAACGGAATAAAAAGAGAGGGCTTAGTATCTGATCCGATTTGACATCTCAGACACAGGAGAAAAAACGACACGCGCGCCTTCCATTGTCGCATCATACTTTGTTTATCTACGTGCATTTTATCTTCCCACTTTCAAGGTTCTCTGCCCCTTGCTCTTCTCTCAGCATTCCATTCTTTTCTCTTCCCGTCACTGTTAAACCTGCCTTTTTCTCATTCTTTCATTCCTCGCTCATTGCGAGTCCACCTACACACGGCTCGGATGAACGCCCGCAACGCATCCACCGCTCCCCTTTCAGCCTCTATTCAATTCAGCTTGCCTGACCCTCGACGCACAACATGACGGCTGGGGCCTGCTACTGGAGTGGAAATGGCTCTTACTGCTGCCCTTGCCGTGGCCAAGGACAGCCCGATGTGGCCGAATCTTCATCGACCTCTTGCCTGGAGTGCGGACATCCACTCAGAAATCATTTCAGAATTGGGCGTAAGTGCTCCTTCTCTCTAGTGAACTTATTTTAACGCTCTTTTAGCGCACCCAGGTGATCCTAGTGCTAGCCAGGTCTTGCTACCAAGACACCAAACCGTGAGAAAGCTGGCCAATCGCATCCATGAACAAAGGGTTGTGCTCGCTCGTGGAACCCCCTCATCGGGAAAGACCTTTCTCGCCCGGTCTCTTCATACCTACCTCCGTGGACAGGGAGTCAAGTCGATTTACATCAGAAGCTTCCCCCCTAGTCTGGAGGGCGGTCCCACCGCGTTGGATTATCTGGCCGAGGCCTGTCACATCCAAGGTTTTGCGGCATTTGCGCACAGTATTCTGCGAGACAGATTTGTATTCCTCATCGATGATGCCCACACGACTTACAATAACTCCGAACTATGGTTGATTCTGAATTCGGTGAACCAAGATCGACTCGCGAACATTCCCGGAGTCAGTTTCTGTATGTTCAGCGCATTCGGTACCCCAGATAGGGGCGTTATGCCACACAATATGGGAAGTGACCTGTTGATATTCAATAAGAGTCAACGTCTTTCCTTATCCGATCAGTTTCCTGCGGAGATCACGCTTTTCTACACCGAAGAAGAGTTCGATCTCTACGTGGAAATGCATCTCCAGGGTCGAGGTTCCGATTACGAAATCTGCGATATTTTGAAACATAGAATTCTTGGCTTAAGTGGCGGCCAGCCTGAATTGGTGGATGCATTCATGCATCTCTGCGACATGGTATGTGGTCCTCTGCCATTTCTAGTATTCTCTGTCATGCTAACATATTGCCAGTGGTATGAGGCATGGTACAAGGATGAAGACCTTGACCTCATGAGCTATGATGACTATGAAATTAGTCGATTCCTTCAAGTTCGTGGCATCCTAGAAGGAACAATCGCGGCAATTGTAAACTTCGCGGGTCTTCCACTTTCACCCGAAACCTTTTTCCCTCCTGAACAGGAGTTTGAAGTTCTTCGCCAGGCTCAGCGATCCCGCCATGACGGCCTTTTGTTCGACCCACAAAGTGAGGCTATGCTATCATGCCTGACGAAAGGTTGGCTGCACATGGAAGAGGCCCGAGAAGGAGGATTCAAATGTTACTTTCCAACCATGTTTCACAACAGGTACGATACATATTATTACTCACCCTGGTAATGTACTGATAGTATAACAGGCTCGTGGAGTACCTCATGGGAGTCCAGGAACTTAGGTATCCAACCCCGCCTACTTTGAACAGAGCGGAACTTGAATTGATGTTGAGCATGCGAAACATGACGATTTCGTAAAGGCGGTTTGGCTATTGTGAACCAAGGAATCAGCGTTCGACTAGACATCTAATTCATGCCGGATATTTGGCTTTGGCAGATTTAGCATACCATCTTTCTGAAGGGCTGCTGAATTCGTTGTGGGCGAGGAACATAATTTTGACGAATGGTCGACTTATGCTGCATCGTCGGTCTGTGTCAATTCTTTATCATGCTATCATGTGTGAAATGCAAGCTTAGTTTGTAGAAGTGCTGCAACAATTCAAATTTATTTAAATTTGACCCGAGTGCCATAGCTTCCGTGAGGTCACTTTGACTTACTATTGATAGTAAGACATAGAACAAGATGAAACAATGTGCTAGTTAGAGGCCATTAGATATTCCATCTAAATTGTAGCCCCAGTCAAATTTTCACTCCCAATTCAATGAAAATTCAATGGCTCAGGCAGCCATGGAGCCCTGGAGACATTGCTTGCTTACATAGGCAGTTGTCTCTTTGTCTCCATGAAGTTATGGAGATGGCTTCATGGCAGCAGTATTGCTCTTTTTCTTTATATAGTTGAATACGAAGGCCTCGTCCAGGTTCTCGTATACCCCGCAATGACTCAGAAGGTTAGGGTTAAACCGGGTCCACGGTTAATATAAGCTTAAACGCCAAGGGCAATCAATCAACTTCGTTTTCAAAGCACATGAATGTTCTTTTTCTCTTACTTCGTTTGCGCACCATCCTCAGGCTTCAGGCTGCACATAAACCTCCACGCTCACAATTTCAACACTACGCATGAACCCCGGCCCCATTCGAAAATACGCACTAGACTGCCATCAAAGATGGAACCCTCTTTGACGCCCATGCAGGTCGATGGAGCCAATCCGACAACCTCAAGAACTCGTCTGTATGTACTGCAGTCGCCACAATAGTACCTAGACTAACACAGCCGCAGACAATCAGGTATCATCATCATCGCCTCGACGACCCTCGTCTTTACAGGATGCGGAATAAACTTCGCATTTGGTGTCTTCCAAGAGCTCTACGACTCCATGTCAAAGGAGCCAAACACCCCGTTCACCGGAGCAACACCGGCGCAAATTGACCTGATCGGCACCCTCTCAATTGCACTGATGACAATCGGCGCTCCATTTGCAACAGCATGGACAAAGCAATACCCCCCTCGATATGTCATCTGGGCTAGCGGAATAATTCACTCCAGCGCTCTGCTTTTTGCAAGCTTCAGTCAACACCTGTGGCAATTCATCCTCACCCAAGGCATTCTGCTCGGTATGGCCACTTGTCTGACTTACATGCCATCTGTAACCGTGGCACCGACATGGTTCACGCTGCACCGTGGACTGGCGATGGGGATAATTCTTGCAGGAACCGGAATCGGCGGTGTTGCATGGCCACTGGCTTTTCGATACCTCATTGAGTCCGTCGGGTTCCGCAATACACTCCGCGTCACAGCGGGGATCTCCTTCGCCCTCATTTGCGGCTCGGGGACATTTATACGCTGGCCTGCTAGTCAGATCAGTCGTATCCAAGCCGAGAACGCAGCTTCCTCCCGCTCATCGACCTTTTTCCGCCTTCCGTTGGTCGACTGGCGCGTCGTCCGAACTCGTAAGTTCGTCGCTCATGCTCTGGGTGCAGCGTTGCAGTCTGCTGCTTACTACACACCGGTGTTCTTTTTTGCGTCTTTTGCCCGTACGCTAGGCTACTCACAGGCGACCTCGGCGAACTTCATTGCCATCTCGAACGCTGCAAATGCGCTAGGCAAGGTCGTCATCGGTCACGCAGCTGATCGTATGGGAAGACTCAACACACTAGTATTAACAACGCTCATCTCAGCCGTTTCTGTCCTTGCATTGTGGCTTCCGTCATGTCTATCTGCCACACAATCTACCGGGAGTACACTGTTCATCGCATTCACAGTACTCTATGGCATCTTTGCATCGGCATACGTCGCTTTGTTCCCGACGAGCCTGGTAGAATTGTTCGGCGTGCAGAACTTTGTCAGTGTCAATGGCTTGCTGTACATGGTAAGAGGCTTTGCCACATTAGTTGGAACCCCAGTCGCGGGTGCGCTGATCCGCGGAGGCCACGAGAAGAGTGTTGGTCCGCGAAATTATGAGAATACCAGCATTATGGTCGGTGTCTTGCTGGTTGTGGCGACATTGGCTGTGGTTTGGGCGCGACTTGAGGCTACCCTTACCCTCGATGCTGCAGTGGGGCGCAGAATGAAGTGGTTGATGTGAGTATCTTGCCTCGCAAAGAGCAGAGATTGAAGGAGACATGCTCGATCATGGATCCCGAGAGAAATTCCAATGCCATAGACTGTACATTAGCAATATTTGCCGTTATCAAGCAGCCAAATATAATAAAATCTCCTCTCCATTTGATCCAAACTGACAATCCATCCTGGATCTCATAAAATGGGTTCAAGCTGTAGACTCGTCAACGCAAGACCTCCTTTTTTATATGAACCTTTATAAGCAGCTGGCATCCCGGGATCTTTCCTCATCGGCCTCTCTACCTATCGATGATGAGCACGCACAGAATGAAAAGCCGGAGATCATGGTTCACTGTATCTCACGACCGCCAACGATCATAACCGCCTATCTTATGCGTAAACTACATATGTACGCATACCGCTAATGGAGGCGTTGGAATTTGTTCAATCAAGACAAACATCAAGAGTCAGACCAAGCAAAACTTTACTCGCCAACTTCAAGTGTGTGTGGAGAAAGTTGGATATCAACATTTGAAGTATGGGAGAAAGAAAAGGTTGTCACGAAACCGGCACACAAAGCGTTTCTAGACGTTCAGGCTGTCCTCCTGGAAGAGATGGAGCTCACCAGGAACGAGCCACTCGCACAACCTTGGAATCGAGCCTCCTTGACGAAAACGTCTTTCCATTTCCCATATCGCAGCATATTCTTGTCGAGCTTCTTACATGTTACCATTTCCTCTCGCCCACAACTATGGAGATCGAATTACCACGCGAGTTGTACATACATATGTATTTACATAGATATACATCTTCTGATTCAGGTAGACGGCATATATTCCTAGGGCACAAATGCTCTCACTCTAAACCGAAAACAAACCCAAATATCAGTCGTAAATCGTAGCTCTAGTGTCTTCACGGCCCGGGAGTCTGTGCGCCTTCCCCGATCCCCATCAATCCACCAGCGAGCCCGTTCATCCGACGATCCAGCAAATCCTCTTCACTGTCAAGAGAAGCGATGCTCCGTCCTCTTGGACGGACTGCACCAGGGCTTTCAGGGGCACTATTCGTTTTATCAGGATCGAAACGGTTCGGCGAACGAGCCGCTCTTTCTAAGCACCGGAGTTTAGCGATGAAATCATCCTTAGCATTGCGGTCATCTCCCAACGATGTAAAGCCGGTGACTCGCGAGGAAGCAAAAGAGGAACGCGATCTCCTCCGACGCGTGCGGTGTTCAGGCTTTGATGTCAATCCATCCTCACTACCAGAAACGGGCATAATCTTGCTTGTGCTCATTTCCAATGGTCTGTCGTCATCACCCGAAGACTCGCCAGTAAACTTGCGATGGTGGTTACGCCGCTTGTTCGGAGAATTTGCTTCGTGGTCTGCGGGATTATACCATTTGAGCGGATTATTGGCATTCGAAGCATTCACATCTCGATCAGGGTAAAGTAAGTCCGCCTCGAGGTTATCAGTGTTGGTCTTCTGGAACAGACTCTCAAGCCAGTCCGCGCTGCGATGGATATACTTCCATGCGTCGGGGAAAAAGCCAGCCATTTGCATGAATCCGTGTGAAATACCAGGAATCAGGGAGATCTCGACGTAGTTTCGCTCGTTGAAGGGGCGGTTAGACCTCTCCAAGCCCAGGTCCTGGCGCTCACGGAAGTGATGCAGCTTTGCTTGGCGCAGCCTGCCTGCAAATATTACCGTGTCATCAACCAGAGGATCTCGCTCTCCCGTCATGATGTATGTTTTCGGGAAGCGGGCAAGTAATGCATCTGGGGCCAGGACGGGAGACAGGAAGAAATCGGTGTTGAAGTCAGGGCGATGGTGGGCTCCTATGTATAGAATGATCATGGCACGTGTCATTTCAGGTGTGAGGATGCGGTCGTGGACGTAGGTTATCATGGACGAGACGGCTAGTCTGGTCTTGATTGGTTTGACTTCGTCGTTTTCTTTCGCAACAGGCTTCTGGGCTAGGTCCTCGCTCTTTTCGAGTTTCTTTTTCAGTGCTTTGGCTGCTTCAGCGGCCACATTGGCTTCTTTATTATCCTTTGCCTTCTCCGATGGTGAGATAGCAGTCAGATCCTCGATTGAGTGACCTGGCGAGGTGAACGGTGTGAGTTTACGGTACTGATCGTGTTTCCGTTGCAGAACACTGCGGTTTGTCTGACGCGTGCTCTTCTCCTGGATCAATGACATCTGCTCGTCGCTCATCCAGCTCTCAACCCTCATATTCAACGCAGGGTATCCCAAAACAACACCATCCGGAGCTGGTAGCACATCGTCTCCACGCCAGCCCTGAGCCATTGCAGACTGCAATACCATCAAGATCATGCCCACAGCCAGGTTCCCACCAGCACTCTCACCGGTGACAAGAATCCGAGGACGAGTCTTACCACTCAGACCCATACAACGACCGTTTGTGGCAATGATGCTATGGTATACATCGTAGCATTCGTGCAGCGCATACGGGTATGCGAATTCTGGTGCCTTCTTGTAATCGACGCTGAGGATGGGAACCTTGAGCCGTCCTGCCCAAGACAATAGCTTGTCCTCGGAGTTTCTTGGACTCATAGCCACAAACCCACCACCAGGTACATCCAGCACAATGAGACTCTGATCTCGGAGCGCACTTAGCGGACCATCGAAATACAACCACGCGTTCACTGCATCGGTGTAAACAGACTGCACCGGGCGAGGAACACGGATCGCTCGAGCCGGGAACCGAGTCATTCGCGGCCGCAGCAGTTTCGCCAATGACCACAGGTAGGGGCTGGTAGCTTTGTTCCAAGAAACGCGCAGGTGCTCCAGTGTCAGGGTAGCACGAACCCGGCGGACTTTCTCGTCAGCCTGTTCAGCAGCAATCAAATAGTAAGCCGTGAAGACTAGTGAGGCTATATCTCGTAACCATTTTGGCTTTATGTTCATCGCGGTCCAAAATCCAGCATCCAAACCAGTGGTAATCCATGTTGCTCGAAAGAAGGACCGCGAGTACATGTTTGCCAAGGGTTCAGGGCATTCAAGCCCGACGATCTTGGCAAAGTTCCGGCTGAGGTAGAGCCAAAGGAATATGATAACGGTTGTCTGCCATGTTGTCAACTTTCCCGTAAAGCGGGATGACAGAGATCGAATAAAAGGCGGACCATGTTTATCTGCTCTATTGGGTGCTCGGTGGTTAGAACTTGGGAAACTGATGAGGAGTGGATATGTTGGACCTTAATAAGTATACCGACCAGAAGGAGACGACTGCAAATACTTGGATCTTGCGGAGGCGGGTCGAAGGTCTCCCCAAGACGTGGTCTGAATATCGATTAGCCTAGTGGGTTTCAAGTAGGATGCATGTTGCATACCTATCATTTCTCAAAGCTAGGGCTGAGTCTAATAAGTTCAGCCTGTAATGTGCAGTCTATGTGAAGCCAGGAAAAGAATGCATGAAGGTCGAGTCTAAGGAATAATGACAAACAGAACCAAATACTAGAACGTCAGCCCCAATGAAGGACATAATGCCATCAATCAGCAGCGTTGATCAAGTAATGCGACCTTGTCATTGGCGAAAAGGCTTGGGGAAGCTGAATCACATGCCAACAAAGTCCCACTTTCACATGCCAGTGACGACATCAGCTGACACTTCAGGCCGGGGTTGATTCCTTTTTTTTTATATTCTCTGCTTATATCTTTGTCATGACGAAATAACTATGGATATATCCATGTATATCACAGATCTCCGCTCTATTCTATGTCTTTTGTCGGCAATAATCACGCCCATGTCCAACCTGCCAACTGCACAACCAGACCTCCCACCCCATACTGAGCAAGCCCGCGATGCAGATACCGGCCGAGTCACTGACAGTGGTAGCGCCCAATGAGAATTCACGGTCCTCCTTAGGAACACGATCGGCAATCTCAGCAAATGTATTGACATATACCACTCCACCGAGGAGGCCCTCCCAGAAAACAATGATGAACACAAGCCACACGGTGGGGATAAAATCAAATAGAGCATGGAGGGTCAGCAACGCAAGATTTACCACCTGCAGGAGTGACGGCAGGTACAGATTGTGGATGCGGTAGAATGGTGTCGAGGAGCGGGATATGAAGACGCCAATCTGATAGATGGCATTATAGGTGGGATAGAACGAGCGGAAGTGCTCAAAAGGCGATTCACTCAGTGGGAAAAGAAGAGTTGGAGCCACACCTTGGTTGATCACGTACTCGGCGATGTAGACCAGTAGCATCGGGACCATGCTAGATACCTGTCAGCCTAGATTTAGAAGAATCGAAAGACTCGGTACTTACAAAGGAATGAACAGTCCCTTGATGCGACGTAGATTTGTGCGTGTCTGGTCCTGCCAAGAACGGCCTTGGTTGACATGTATAGCCTTGCGGGCGGGGGAATTGTGCGACACTCCCAACAGCCCCTCATCTTCTCGACCAGCGCCATAATCCATTTCATCCTCCTCCACCTCGCCCCCGCCTTCAACGACGCGATATCTATCAGCGCCAGATTCAGTAGATCTCAGGGAGGACCTGGGTAAAACGACAAAGAAGCTCATAACCATAATGGCCGGTAAGCAGGCCGAAACCAACAACGTGACGTGAACGGAGAAACCTAGCGCCGAAGTTGCGAGGGCATAGGCACCAGCTCCGATCAGCCCGGCTGCGCCAGTGCCACTCCCCCACGCAGCCAGACTGAACGGGCCGTAGAAGTGCGTGAGACCAACAAAGCTCAGCTCCCCAGCACCGCAAGAAAGGCTAGCCAGGATGATTCCAGCAATCTTGGACGATATCGTTCCTCCATCGGTATAACCTGGGCTCATAGCGACTACCAGCATGCCCACGGATGACAGGAAGGCGAAAACGAAGACGCGCACCCAATAAGGGACCAGATGGATGAAGTACGGGGCGAGAAGTTTGGTCACGAATGACGGAATCACGTCCGCGAGGAGAACGACACCTTTAGGTACATCGGGTCCGACTAAATCTACGGCTGCGGAGAGGATGATCACGTATAGGACATTGTTGATAAGGCCTGTCGGGTAGTGTTAGTTCACCTGATCAACTGGGGCTGGTTGAGCGTGCGCACCGAAGAGCCAGAAAGCGACGCAGACTCGGGGGTCTGCGCCGCTAAAGGCACCACTAAGACGGGCGCTGAAACGTTTCCAGATGGAAGAAGATTGCTCTTGGGAGGAAAGCGTTGCAGCATCCTCATCGGATGCTGCGAGAGGCATTCGGTCGTTGCGTTGGGGGTTGATAAGGAACTACAGCAAAATGATAACGGTATTCAATCCATGGATTTATTCTCATTGAATATTAGAGAGAGACGGACAAGGCAAGATACGGGGACGTCAATGAAGTGCCAAGAGTGACGACTCCTATCTCCACGCGATCCACCGCCTTCCGCCCTACTCGTGGCTGAGACTTGGCCTCTCCACATAAGAACAATGGACACACGACACCAAAAAGGGATGGACACAACTCATCTTGGCCGTTTTGATGTGGAATTTGCGGTGGAAACGATCGGATCATCAGCCCGGGCCATTCGGTCTATTCTAGCTCGTCTCCGGGAAAATCCGGACCTGGTGACAGCATATGCGAGTTCACCAACGTGCCACTAGATGTGGCAAAGCTGAGTCTCTCTAAAAGATGTCGTCAGATGTATACTCAGCGATGTCGATTTTGCGACTCCCGCGTCTATTTGAGTCTACTCAATCCTGACTTGAGAGACGCCAGAACAAGATATCCACTAGCACCACCAAGGCTGGGAAACCACAAGCAAGACTGTGAGCAGACCTCGGATTTCCAGATACTCAACTACCAGCTATTTGACGAGCTACATGTAGCTATGTGACATGTTAGTGTAAGCATAAAAATAATAATCATGCGACTCAGAAATAAGCTGTGAGAGCCCAGGAGCGTGATACAGTGAATATTGATATTGCTAAATGATAGGTATTGAGACTGCTTTATATGTGCGTATGTTGTTTGGTCCCTTCAATAACAATATAAGTATTCTTCACATAATAATTTGAAGAGAGAAGTCCTATACAGATACAATTTGTAGCCGGAGGCAGGGAAATGAGTTCCTGCTCCTTCCTCGTTAAGGCTCCTTCCTTGGAGTTCCTTCCTCCTGGCTCCTCTGCCCTCAGTCCTTCCAACCCCCCATTTATCTCTCCGTTTCCCCATTCATCCTCTTCCTTTGTCCACTTCACTCACCTATCGCCCTCAATCCCATGCCTTGTATCTCTACTTCTCTTCGACCCTTCTTCACCCACCTTCTGAAGAAGTCCGTGTAAGTTCACTTTACCTTTCCCAGTCCTCTGGCAAGGTCGGTCTCTATGCTTCTGCATATGCATCTGCGTGACAGTTCCAACCGGTCCTCTGACGAGATCGGTGTTGCTTCCCTCGGTGACCGGTTTACTGACCGGTCTGCTAACAAGGTCGGTCTTACATTCGTCGTTTTACCTTTCCCGCTTTTCCGACAAGGTCGGTGTTCTCATTTCTCGCTCGCCCTCCCCAACCATCCTTTTCTACTGCTGTTGGAAGAATAAGAGCACGACGCGACTCATTTGGAGTACACTTTGCGAACGCACCCTACCTGCAGACGTCAATATCACTTTCCCAAACCTGGTGTTACTGGAGTGAGCTGACTTAGGATAAATGACAGATACGATGAGTCCTGGTCCCAAGTTAACATTCCCAAGAAAATGAATACGAAGGGAAGCGTACCCCGCAGCTATATCCAATTCACAACCGAGCGACGACGACCGTACCGACCAGAACAAGAAAAGGACTAATATGACAAAATGCGTGACTCATGGGCTTTCCCGCATTGCTGAGAGCTGCTAGAGGTCTATGGAATGGGAGCAGAGTCCATCACTAGCCATCAGAAACGAGAGACAGATGAAACGTTGACCCTCAACACAACCTTGCAAGAGCACACAGATGTCATCCCCCGCGAGCACATTTCGAGAATGAAACAACTCTCAAAGAGGTCTCCCCATACTTCCCTAATCAAGATTTCGAACCACGATTTGGACAGATTCTTCGCTTTCGCATGCCATCATACCACATGTCGGCGGTTTGAGTCGAAGTAAGAATGAACGGCCCATTCTACGTCATCACAAGCCAGTCTGAATCTCGAGCTGGAACTCATCCAAATCCACCCTCTGGTCTTTGCGCATATTGATGAGCATCCGAACGACCCGAGTGTGTCGAGCTTCGTCAACTGTCTTACCGAGACGCCGCTTGTTACCGCCCACCGAACGGCCAGGATACCATTGAGCTACGGCGCGGCAAGATTGTGAAGAGAGTCCTATCTGAAAGCGACACAAGGATGTGGTTTTGCCAATCACAACAAAAGCTCAAGGGGTTGGCAACAACTCTCGCCAGTTGCCTCCCACTATTGCGTCGGATGGCGCAAATGAGGGTGCGGGGTCTTAAGCGGTCCCTGTTGTGTCGCCTCATCGAAGCGGGCTAGCTTCAGCAGACGCCCTGTATCAACTACTGGGATACCCCTCGGATTCTGGAGTCATCTATCAAAGCGATATACAGCAGCAAGCTCACTTCAAGCACCAACACCAACCGGCTAGAGCGAGTCGGAAGAAACTTGTGATGCTTGGACCAGAAGGGCAATGCCTGCTATCGCCCCTGGAAGTCGACGCCTCTTCCCCCCTTTTCAGACGTGTGAAAAGATATCTTTTCGGATCTCTTCAAATGTCTTTCCTTTAGACGTCTTTTTATCGGTTTGCTTTTCCCTCTCTGTGATAGGTTTATCATTAACCACCGTACTTTAGGGATCTAACTCACATTTCACTTGTCACTGTTCTATCCACATAAATTCAAAATATAGAGACTTACAACGGTTTTTCATGTATAAACTGTGATCTTTCCATATCTACTGTCAATGTTGACGAGCCGTGCCGACAAAATAAATAGGGTCTTGGCATCTTGGCAGTTGACTGGTGACATTTGGGGCTCCAGGGCTACTAGTCCTTCTGTTCAACCCTCATGTATACCATATATTGCACCTGTACTCTGTGAGAATGGATTCAGTACCTTTTATAAAATCATATCAAGCATTGTCTCTTGATTTGAAGAACGTGCTAGGTTAACAGACATCACCTTCTCCCGACGATCCTGCAAATGCAATCGCCAATCATGATGGCGTGCTTCGCGCAATTCCCTGCACAATCGCGCGATGTCCCCTCATCTTAGATACCTTGAGCTTTACAATATTTATACTCATTACCTCGCACTCTTGGCCTTTCAGCAATTGGCACACTACAGCCTGGTTCACCCCCTTATACGAACTAGACCGCGCCTGGGAGATTTTACCTACAAAGTTCGCTATGGAAGCTATCAGTGCATCTGACGAGAAGCCTACTATGGAATCGTTAAAGGAGGCTTTAGAACTTGAGTCCGACACCCGGTTCGAATACGATCCATGGCTTCTCGACGATCATCCCCTACGATCACATCCGACAGAGTGCATTCCAGGCTTGTCGCTCTATCTCCATGAATACTACGAATCCATCGGGAAGCGAAGAGCGACTCTCTTCCGCGCCGGATGCCTTATTCTCGGATGCATGTGAGTGTCGCCGTAGCATCTATGTCCCAGACAGCCAATCTGACAACATTCCTTCCCCAGAGCCGCATTCCAATGCCTACGATTGCTCCCAATCAATATCAAAGGGATACTCTTGCCTCATGCATCCACGCCACGTGCCCACATTTACCCCCAGAGTGCCAAGTGTACGTTCCCTACACTAGATACGCTATCACATTCCCTCAGGTCGTCTCTCAACGAGGGATGCGAAGGCCTTCGAACGGCGGTCTGGATGCACAACGGGGAGCTGCAGATTGGAAACGCAGTTGTGGAGACCGAGCCCCAGGCCGAGGACATCCTGCAGCGACTCGGTCTCGACCCTCTTTTGGCGAAACTGGACGCTGAGAATGATGCTACCGCCCGGGCATCTCTTAACCCCGAAACGCCAGGCAGCTTTCACGACCATCTGGCTCGGTCTTTCCTTTTAGTGCTTGATGCCAAGACGCCGCTTCACGGGCTGTACCCGCATCTCATTGAACATCTTGATACTCTCCGGCAGAGGGGGTACCTGTCTCATTGGGATGGGCAGAATGTTGTCCAGCGCCCTGTGACTGTGGTGGTTACTGGGGAGACTTTCCCGGAGTGATTGTGTCAATCATTCTTATTCTGACATTTTTTGGTCTGCTTTGCTGGAAGGACGGTTTACGAGTGACTTCACGAAGGATGGTGTCCGACATCTATCGCCAGTGTGTATAGTATGAGTGTTGTTGACTTCTGTGATACCCAATTTGAGTTTCTTTTAACAATGTAAATAATAGCGTCCATTTTCAATCTTGTTTGTGCTTTTAATACATATCTGCGGCTTTCCATCCACAGCAAGGAGGTTGATAAGGTGGGAGATCACGTAGGGCCACTTTCCTGTAGCCTCGCGTAAGCCCGTGACATACATCCATGTATGGATAATTTGAATAGATGTAGGGTCGGCCGTGATATATCTAACTATGATATTAAGGGCAAATTACAACATAAATCCTTCAAACTAGGCAAACTCTTAGAATCACTAGAAGTACATATGAGCGGAACTACCCTTTACAGATGTCCCGTGGAATCCCAGTCAAGATCGGAACTGCCTGATAGTCCACTGAAAAGCAGGAATCCCGAGACTTAAACCCACAGCTGTATGCCGATCGGTCATGCCAATTGGACGAATTCGGCAAGATAAAGAAAACAACGCACGATGACATGCAGACCTATCTTCCCCCACAAAATACTTGCAATATAGCAGGAGGCCCTAACAAAGGCATGTAACGCGGTTGTCACGACAGAGGTACTTGATAGCGTCAAAATACTCAAATGGTCCAATAAGGAAAGCTTTTGCTGAGTTCACATGGAGCAGGACAGGAACTGTCAAATGTATAGAGTGCTGGAACAAATTGATTGGGGGGGGGGGGGGGGGT